CATAACAAAAAGATTCCTTTAGTTAAAGAGCTCTGGCAGAATCATAAGGTCGAAGAAGCTACATAGGAAATAGAGGAGGATATGAGAATACAATTTACATACCTCTTCGATCCAGTTATTTAGATTCGAGGACAAATTTTCTTAAGGGGAAATTGTAATACCCCAAATATCAGGTCAATGACTTGATTGAAAAGATTTAAAAATTTAAGATTTATTTAAATAAATGGTAAAAGATAAGAAAATGATTTGGAATAGTGTTTAGACTAAAAATGTAACAATAGATAAATTAAGAGGGCACTTTGGTCTTTTAAGAGGGAAAATGAATTTAAATTATATTCATTATTAGGGATTTTAAATAGGAAAAAGAGGAAAGTTAAACCATTTCTACTTTCACTCTTCTTCTTCACGTGGGTTGAGCTCTTCTCCATAGCATAAGGTAAACTTCAATTAGTTAGTTCTTCCTTTAAATTTTGGGTTGCTCTTGTAACATAAAGTGTTATGTAAGCTTAAGGAAGGATTAAAGAAGATTAAAACTAAGTGGTGGATGTTTTATATGAGATTTAAGGAAATGAGTTTTTGAATGATATGTTGATATATAAGTTTTTATTGAGGTTTATTAGTAGAATTGACTTGTCAAATGAGTGAATAAGTGATTAGAAACATTGGATATGAATAAAAACATGTTAGAAAAAGTGATATGATTCTTGGGTTGAGATGTTCTATGGAGATTTTAGATGTTATAAGAGGCTAAATGATGTAAAGTTAGTGGGGTTAAGTAAAGAGGAGTTTAATAGTATTGTTGGAGGTAAAAGTAAAAGATTAGAGGGGAAAATTAAGTGAAAATTAAGCTGAAAAATGGAAAATCTGGGTAATGGTATCGGTACTGATAGAACAGTACCAATACTATAGGTGTAGATGGGTAGAAATATGACGAACAATATCGGTACCTATACAAGTAGTATCGATACAGATAGGTTATCGATACTAACAAAGGGAAGTATCGATACAATGGATCACAGAATGCCAAAATGGTATCGATACCGAAGGGGAGTAACGGTACCAAAGTATAGTAGTATCGATACTAAGAGAAAGGTATCGATACTATAGTATAGAATTATCGATACCATGGTAGGGTATCGATACTATTGAGCCTGGAACTATAAGATAGATTGAAATTGTTATAGAAATTGAAATAATGGTACTTTTTAGTATTATTAAATCATAAATATTAGGGAATATACTAACATTTGATGTGGTATATGTCTTTAATTGTTGCTTGTGTAGATCATAACCAAGCTCCTGAATCTAGCAAGAAAAGGGGGAAAGATAAAGTTGTGGATTGACCAGACATCTCTACATCTTATTAGCGGGGGATTACCAGGTGAGTACATTTATTGTAATTATTTGAGATGAAGAAGATTTGCAATGATTCAAATTAGAATGTTTTAAGTTAATGTATGTTTTATAGTATTTAATATGTTATCATTATATGTATGGAAAGAATATTATGAATAAATGTTAGAGTATGAACTGCTCTAAAATGAATCGATAAATGAAATGCATGAAATGATGCATTAAGGCATGAAAGGATGCCATAAATGAAATGTATAAAAGGATGTCATAAATGAAATGCATGAAAGGATGTATTATGGCATGAAAGGATGCCATAATTGAAATGCATGAAAGGATGCATTAAGGCATGAAATGATGCCATACATGAAATGCATGAAATGATGCATTAAGGCTTGAAAGGATATCATAAATGAAACGCATGAAAGATGTATTAAGGCACGAAATGATGCCATAAATGAAATGCATGAAAGGATACCATAAATGAAATGCATGAAATGATGCATTAAGGCATGAAAGGGATGTCATAAATGAAATGCATGAAATATGCATTAAGGCATAAAAGGATGTCAAAAATGAAATTCATGAAAGGATGCATTAAGGCATGAAAGGATGCCACAAATAAAATGCATGAAATTATGCATTAAGGAGTGGAAGGATGGCATAAATGAAATGCATGAAATGATGCATTAAGGTTTGAAAGGGTGCCATAAATGAAATGGATGAAAGGGTGTATTATAGGCATAAAAGGATGCCATAAATGAAATTAATAAATAATTACTATAGAAAAATGGGAAAAATGTACAAAGAGAAAAGTATGTTGGACATACTAAGGATGTTTATGATAATAATATGAAAGAAGTTTGGTTTCAATAGTAAGGATTTATCTAATCCTTATGGATGATATGAATTAGTTCGAAATGTAATGACCATGATATGCTTAAGTATACATTATTGTTTCTTTAAAATATTATGTCTCACTAAGTACATATTTAACATGTGTTGATTTCACGCGTAGATAAAGACAGAGATTAACTAAGTAAGGAGTGCAGTTGTAGCAGCGGTGATAATCAATTACGGTTGACTCATCAGTGACAATAGGACAATCCAGTTTATTTTGGAAAACTTATTTGGCATGTAATTAAAATACTAATAATGCTCTGAATTTTTAATTAAGTAGAACTTTGTAACAGATTACACTCAATGTTTTGCTTTATCTTAAAAATGTTATGCTTTAAAAAATTGAAAAAAATAAAATTTTACGGGTTTTCCAATGGGGAATTGTTTTAAAAAGTGATGTGACATCTGTATCTCGTGTACGGAACAGTATACATGAGATGGGTGTTATAGAAGGAGGGCATGAAAAGTGTGAAGTAAAGCCATATTTATAACCCCTAAAGGTTAAAGCATCTACTAATAGGAAAAATATATTTTCTCTTATATTTTGCTGCCATTTTAAAATTGTATTAAACAATTGTCAGATTCTAGAATTTTCTTATAACTACCTGCTGAGTTATCAGTTGCTACTGATGCAAATTAGTAATCCAGTACAACATCGTCTCACAACAACGTCTATAGCATCGATAATGCCACAACATCAATGTACTAAATTACAGTAAAATATCATAAAATAACACAAAAGATATAAACTCACTCAAAATGTACAGATGATGTAAAATATGATAAAATAAACCTAAAATGATCCCAATGATGCTACCATTCAAGTTTAACATATGTAAAAATATCCTAAAAGATTACTCTTTTGGAGAGTTATCACCTACCCTTGGTACCGATACCATTTTCACATTCGATATTTGGAAAATTAACCCAATATGATACCCTTATCTATGGTATCGATACCACCCAAGCATCGATAACAAAATTGGCTACTAGAATTTGAAACTTAGTAATGGTATCAATACTTACTCCTCGATATCGATACCCGAAGGATAATATTGATAAACTATGAACAATGTTTTGATACTACTCAACAGAAAAACCTAATATTAATTATTTTTAATATTTTTACTGAGTCTTCATTATTAATCTCTCATTATACAACTAAGTGTCTCATATCATTATTTAACCCATATGTAACTCAAACTCTTACTCGTGTAGGTTATTTTAGTAACCTTCCACACTTAAGCTAAATTCCCAATCTCAATTGATATTAAAATCCTCACTCTCGAGTCTGTTTGACATCTTTAAGTTTCTCAACCACTTTAGGTATCGATACCAAGCCTTTCGTATGAATACCCAATATTCGGTATGGAAACCAGTTCATTCGATATGGATACCAAGTCATTTGGTATGGACACTAGTTCATCTAGTATTAATACCAATCATTCGGTATTGATACTAAGCATCTAGTATCGAAACAATAATCCTCATTATTGATACCAATGGATCAATATTAGTACTAAGTGTCTAGCATCAATACCACAACCCTCGATATCGATACCAAGGGATCAATATCAATATCAAGGGATTTGTATCGATACTAGTTCATCTAATATTGATATCGAGGCCTAGAAAACCCATTTTTACTTAGAATATGAATAGTATTGATACTGACTCATCAAGTATTGATATCATGGCCTAGAAATACAACATTTTGCTCTAGAAACACCCCTAAACTCACCTCAAACACTTATTTTAAGGTCTAAGTTGATTATTGAATCTAATAGAAGTCTTTAGGGGTCATCATACATCATTTTTACACTAAAGTAACATACAAAATATCCATAAGAACAAATCAAACACCCAAACCTTCACTTACTTTTCCACCTCATAAAGTAAGCCATGCTAGATGATATGCACTAAGAGTAGTAGGGAATAGTTATAGTGTGTTACCTCAAATCCTAGTAGCCAAAAAATGTTTACAGCTTACCCAATGATCAATCTTTCTTTAACCTAGCTCAATATGGGGTCTTTACACCACTATTATCATTACCCAAAAAGCTAACCAATGATTCCAACATGAAAAAGAAGAATAGTAGTTTTTAAATAACAAATAAACCACGTGAAAATTGAATGAAATATAGGAGAAAGCCTTTGGAGCTCAAACACTTCCAAAACTTCATGAGAGCTCAAGAACATCATTTATGGAGATGATGTGCTTTTCATAAAGCTTAAGAAATCTAGATTGAGAATCTTATCTCTATATTTTCATATCAAATAAATAGATGAAGAAAGGTGAAGGCTTTTTCTTTTGTTCACTACATGAAAATATACCTTTAATGACACACGAACGATGACACACACTAATTTATGACTTGCAAAACATGTGTGTCATAAAAAATGTCACGTTTCTTAAAATCTTAACGATTTATGACTTACAATAATGTGTTCCATATTTAATAGTCATAATCTAAAAAAATTAGCAAATACACGGAATACACTTTTCATTATGTGTCATCTCTAAAGGACGTCTTTTAATTTTCCCCCCATAATTTTCATCTTCACTTCTTTTCAGTCTCTTTTTCCAGTCTGTTTCCCTCTCTCTACGTACCCTTTCAAACTTTTCAAATACCAGCAAAAAATGCCCACTCCCTTCTGTATTAGCATTCTCTCGTATCCCTTTCTCTTCTCTTCTCATTTTTCTTCAAAATCAGTTTCCTTTGTTTTGGTTCTGGGGGTTCTGTTCAACAATGGAAAAGGCTAATGTCGAGAAGGTGAAGCGACTAAGAGCTTATGTTCAAAACTATGAATGGGGAAGATGTGGGACGGAGGCATAGGTGGTGAGACTTTTGGCTTTGAATTATGGGTCTGAGATTGAGCCTGATAGGCCATATGCTGAGTTTTGGATGAGAACCCATGACTCAGAGCCAAGTTTTATGGCTTATGATAATGGAGAAGGTGGGAATTTGGGTTTAAGAGATTGGATTTTGAAGAATCCGAATGTGCTTGGTCACAAGGTTTTGAAAAAATGGGGGCCTGATCTTCCTTTTCTGTTCAAGGTTTGTTCTTTCCTTTTACACGTATTTCTCTACTTTCTTTTTGGGAATTTCTTTTTTTTCCTCTCATTTCCTTCGATTACTGGGAAATTTAATTTTGATTTTTGTGTGTATGTGTTTGGAATTGGGTTAATGAGTTTTCTTTTTCATTTTAATGGTAATGGCTAGAACCATATCAATCATTATTTTCTGCATTGTCTTACAACCACCATAACTCTTTGCTTCTACATTCATTGTACTTGTCGATAAAAAAGTAGGATGATAAGGGAAGCCTGGATGATGGTTGAATCAACCATTTTCTATGCTGAAACTACTGATATAATTAGAATGGGTTGCATTTGAAAGCAACATAACCTCATTCTCATATATAGCTTTGAATCCATCGAAAACGTTCAAGATTTCACAGCTCAGGAAATATTGGTATGGCGTATGTAGTTGCGGATTGATTCTGTGTTTCATATGCTTTAATATATGTACTTTCATTGGAAAAACTCCTTTCAAGACAGGCACATCCGGATAAAGAATTGGCCAAAGAATTGTATAAGTTGAAACGAAATATCTATAAGGATGCTAATCATAAACCTGAGATGGCTTTGGCCATAACAAAATTCAGGGCCCTTTGTGGGTTCATTACTTTTGAGGTAATACATGAATCATGCTCGTTTTTTGGTGGTGAAACTTCCCTTTCCTGGTTGTCTTCTTCGAGTGAATTAATCTTTCCTTTATGTTTGCTAAAATTCTTTAATTATATATTGTTCTCTCCATGATCTGTGGATCTTGTAATCTAGGTCTTTACCTAATTGCATGCTTAATTCACCTTGGGCTTATGCACAAATTCACAATTTTATACTTTTTGTACTGTTGAAGTCTTGAAGATGGCATATAGTAATACTAATGTGAAACTTGCAATTTCCAGAGAAAAGTAGCAAAAACGATCAACAAACAGAGGGAGGCTCTATTGAAACTACAGTTTCATCTGGTCACTTGCATGAAACGAGTCACAAAGGTTATGATGTTCCAAGCGCTGCCACTGATGACCTTAAGAGTGAGAACCAAGGAGATGCAGATGGAAGTGGCAACTCTGGAGAAGATGAGAACGATGTGCAGAATGGAAGGCCTTTGTCTCATGGAACACGTGCATTGATGTGTGATGAAGAAGACACAATGTTTATGGAAGTGAAGTCACCTAATTTATTGACAAATCATTCTTGAAATGTCACTTAGAATTAATCTAATGGCCATGAGTTCACAGAGGTCTATGCAGAGCATGAAAGGCTTGTTTTGACATTGTTTCGTGATTTTCTCAATAAGCTCATTACTTGTGGGAGCATAAAAGGTAAGCTAGTGTGTTTCACAATTCTATACTCCTAATTTTGATAATTTTATTAGGTGCAATATCTGGTTAGTGTTCCTTCTCAGAAACTCTCCAAAGAGTTAAGTTGCTGCCTCCATTATAATTCGCACTATTATGGCTTTCTTTAGGGCTCTAAATTAACTAATTAATGTTAAAGGTCTACTTTTGGGTGTTGAAAAATTCAAAATTGAAAGAAATAAAAGATTAGTTTTCTTGTCTTTTTATCCCATCTTGAGATTTATTTGATTTTCCAACCTATATTTTCGATTCTCATTGTAAATCTTAGGTGTTAGTATTTAATTAATGTTCTTAAATGCTGATTTGACCTAATAAGTTTCACAGAGACAATGTGGTCTCCGTCGGCTAGAAATGAAAAAAGAAGTAAACAAGAAGCCATGGAAAATGGTACTGGGAAATTTTGGGAATGCAACAATTAAGGAGCCTTATCCTAGCAGAATTGTAAAGTCTCCGATCCCAGCACCTGTAGAAACATGTCACACTTTCCCTGTAGTATCTTTTGCTTTGTGTTTTGTATTAGTTGATGGACGCTTCTTGTTTATACTTACCATTTTCTTTGATTCTGCCAACTATTGTCATATATATGAAGCAAGTGTTTTTTTCTTCTTTGTAGGAGCTTCTCGGTCGAACCACTGATTTCTTGTGTACACGCCCGGATGGTAAGGGCATATTAGTTTAAAATATTGTGTGCAAAATAAAATCTTTGTCGTGAAGCCAAAAATTGCTTAGATATATCGAAGTGGTAGCAGGTGAAGATTGTTGATTTGCAGTGCCAGGTAATATTTTGCAGGATTATCCGTTACCGAACCGAACTTAATTTTACTCCAACCCTTTACATTTCAATTCCCTCTCGTTCAACGAACAACGGATTTAAAGACTTCTTACTGTGGAATGTCTCTGAAAGAATTCTTCGTGGAAACCGTATGTACTTAACATATTTGATTGTTTTCTTTTAGTTTTCTTTTATTTATTATTTATGTGGATTTAAAGACTGGTTTAGGTATCTTGATATGATTCCCACCACTTTTGGGAATCCGTTATGGTTTACCGATGATGAGATGTTGGAATTGAGAGAAACAATCTTGTATAGAGCAACTGAATTGCGGGTAAATATAAGCATATAGTTTAATGTTTCTCTTGAAGATGAAATGCATGTAATTTGACTACCCATGATGATGAAAGTTAGTATAATTTTTTTATAGAGTTGAATTTTTTTTTGTTAATTTTTTTTAGACTTGAAGGCAGTGGCAACATGGGAAGTTCCTGTCCCAAAGATAAGCATTAATGCATTATTATTTGTAATCAATAAGCTTAATTATCAGTATTATTGGAAACGTTCTTTAATAAAATGTAAGTTCCACTGTCAATATGCCTTTTGTTCCTAATATTTTATGTGTTGTTAATTAGTTCCCTTTGTTTGGGGCTCTGCTGCCATGCTTTTAACTGATCTATGAATTTCTTGTTTTTTGCCTTTATAATATCCTTTGTGTATTCTATTTTTCATGCATATAGCATCGCAAGCCTATTTCAAAGTTAAATTACTATTAATAGTCTATTCTCGAGGACATTTAACATATATGTGACTTCTGTGGTTACCAATGATCGGTATGTAATTAGTAATCTAATTTGCTAAATCAGTGCGATTGAGTAATTTTTGTTTCCATACTTTATGCATTATTGTTCGTCTTTCCCACCTTAGAGGGATTGTAATTGGAGTTCTATGTGCCAAGTTGGGTATTTGAGTTGTATTATATTTATCGTTTAGAAGTTGTGAATTAAGCATGCTGATAAACATAATTGAATTATTTTGATTCTTAGTTTTGACATAATTGGACTGCTTAGCGTTGTACTATTCTTGTTTTTTATCACTTCATTTTCAATTTTCTTTTGTAGATATACAATGAGCAAATACATATTATTGGATCCAAATCAAAGAAACTGCAGGTAGAATGGATTTTGTGCTATAATTTTGGGAAGGGTTCGTGAACAGCTGGTGCATCTGATGTTCCTACTAGTTCAGTTGAAGCCAATGCTCATTCGTAGCCTGTTTGAAGAGTTCTCGACTCTGAAGAAGCAACTTCAAAATTGCAGAAGAAGCTAGAGGAGTTGCATCTAAGATCTTATAATCTTTTAGTATCTTCTTATGACAATCTGAGAACATTCTTGGTTTTTTGTTTTCAAATAGACATAGGTGATGGATTATGTTTGTAACTTAATGTGATATATTGTATGCAAATGGATTGCTTATATTAAGATGATTATATTTAGTATTATGAGGCATTAAATGTGATTTAGTTTGATTATTTGTCAATCTACAATATATATATATATATATATATATAACAATAATTTACGAAATACAATCACGACACACGAATGTGTGTCATCTTTTTTAATGGTGTGTGCTTCAATGACACGCAATGTAAGTCATACATGCGTGTCATAAATTTATGACACACAAATGTGTGTCATCTTAATTTATGACGGGGGCTTCAATGACGCTCAATGAACGTCATAAATGCACGTCATAAATGTGTGTCATAAATGTGTGTCATAAATGTGTGTCATAAATTTATGATGCACAATTACGTGTCATCTTAAATTCATGTCAGTGGCTTCAACGACAGGCAAATGTGTGTCATCCTCACCCATAGATGACACACAATGCGCGTCATTAAAGGGGTTTTTTCTACTAGTGGTTCTTACTTGAGTGGAGAGAAAGAGAATGAAGAAAGAGAATATGAAGAAGGAAAGAAGCCCTTTATGGCTCACCACAAACCTCGTGGCTAAAATATGAAAGAATCATCCCAAATTAGCCATATATTTCTTTAATGGTAAACTTACACCCTAAATCCCTCGTATTTTACTCCAAGCTCAAAAATCCTCATTTTATCTCTAGTAAAACTAATTTCCCATTCGATTAAACTTAGAATCGAACAAAAGAACCTCCAAGCTATAATAAATCTGTTAAATAAATTCTTGAGTCAACATGAAACCACTAGCCCAGAATTCAGGGTGTTACAACTCTCTCATCCTAAAAAGAAAATTTCATCCTCATAATTTCCTCAACGAAATCGTTGGCATATACATTCATGTTGTACAACTTTTGTGACTCAATGAATCTTCTATAAGACTTTAATTAAATGCATTGTCGCATTCAAATCTTATTCCCCACTAATAACTAATTAATTAATCTTTACAACAAGATCCTAGAACAAAATGAGTAACTTTTCTAGGAATGTATGCTTAAGTGAACTATTTTTGAATAGTTAGTAGATCAACAAAGAAATATGATGATAAAGTTATTAATACATTAAGGATTTTTCTCATTTATAATGGAGTTACGAATTTACAAGAGATTTCGAGGTGCTAGTCCAAATTTATTGAATTGAGATAAATAATATCTTTGATTCATGAACGTTCCTCTAACACATTCCGTGATACTTAAGCTCAAGAAAAGAAACTACCTAGGTAACAAGGATGACACAACTAAATTTCATATAAAACAAAGATTGAACGATAGTTTAACAACTATGCATACACCAACACAATCAGAGGTCTTATCATACTCATATTACATAAAACTTAGTATAGGATAGACACCAAGCTTACAATTATGGAACTCAAAGTGACATTTACAAGAACTTGTTGAAAATCATAGTCTAATGAATCATCTGAGTGTAACAAATTGTCTAAGTCCCAACCAAAAATGAAGTCAATGAAGCATTCATATACTGCCGAGTACAAAATTTGAATTCACAAACATTGGTTTTCACCTTCTGGGCTTTTTTCGAGAATATGATACATTCTTTGAGGTTTAGCCCGATCATCGAACTTTATCGAAATCGATCAATGAATATCATTTTAGAAATTGTGAGAAGGTATTCATCAAGGTTAAAGAAACTCGAATTTGATTGAATTCAATGAGCTATGAGAAAATCTATGATGCAATCCCATTCTTGTACTTAATATCCTTCTTCATTACATCATCTTTCTTTCGAATAAAGACTAAGGGAGTTTTCTCATTCCTTACATTTCTCTTATCTTTACATTTCTCTTATCTTTACATTTCTTACTTAGCATTAATTTGATATCTTGTGATCTTATACATCATTTCATTATCTATTGTTATGCCTTATTACCATATGTTATGTTTTTTAGATTTAGGTTGTTGGTTATGCATGAACACCTTCATAATATGCATGTTCATTAAATATAAAGAAGGATAGTAGCTTTAAATTCCTATACTTAGTCTATACTATGCATATGTTATGATTTACCTTCATTCCTAGCTTAATCTATATTAATTCCATAAGTTTGTATCATTCCTTAGCTCGTGTACATTCGTACTTAACTTATGTGATGTTTATATTAGCTCATGCATTCATTCCTAGCTCATCTTAGTTCATTGAATGATTAACATAGGCGGCATCAAGCTTTTGGATTGATTCTAGCTCACACATCACTTATTTTTTTTGTTTTCTTTGCAATCATAGGTGAACACATCAAGGAGGCATCACTTGGTAGCTCATCATAACAAAAGAACAAGCATGTCAGCTTAGGATTAGCTCAAAGTATGGACAAGTAGCTGAATGGAGCTCAAGCATAAGGGTCCTATATCAAGGTAGAGAGTAGCTAGAAGTGTAGCTAGCTAGCTAGCTTGATTTTATCCTATCTCACAACAATCACCTAGCTACCTACTTGACACCAAGTGAGCACCATGGACACCAAGTGAAAATCATGGTCGAACATGACATCAAACCTTGGCATGGAGAATCATGTACATTAAGCTTATCCTACATCCTAAGGTGTAGAGGGTCATGTGCAATCAGAGAGGCTG